ATCTGAGAATAATAAATAAGGTAGCGGTAATTTAAATGCTAGGAAGGATGGATTGTAGGCCGGGCTAGCATGGAATGGCGCGCACGAACAACATGAAGGTAGACGCGTTGAACGTAGGGCGAGAGTGAAACAGGAAGCCTTATGCTCGCTTTCGTTGAAACAGGAAGCCTTATGCCCGCTTTCGTTGAAACAGGAAGCCTTATGCCCGCTTTCGCTGAAACAGGAAGCCTTATGCCCGCTTTCGTTGAAACAGGAAGCCTTATGCCCGCTTGCGTTGAAACATGAAGCCTTATGCCCTGTATTCTCCTCAGAAATAATTCAATCACCTGGACGTTAGGCACTCAGCCTTTTTCGCCAGTACTCATCATCCCTTACCTAGCGTTTATCGGCGGGCATTGTTTTTCTCTTCAAGGATACAGGCACAAATGTGGACGTTTGATTCAATGCAATTTAAATTGGTCAAAATATTATCCCCAACCGCTCAGATGCCAAGGATGTGGCCGATTTGTTGGGAATTGTTTTTTATTGCCTTTGGTGCCACCGTTTCCCCAACTTGCAAAGAACTCCACATCTTTGATTTTTAACAAAACTTTTCAGTGTAAAGAAAAATACAACCCTGAGAGAGGTTTACGTCATTATTTCCACACCTACATAAATTACTCATTGATGAAATAGGAAAAAAATTGATTTACTTTTTCCGATGGTCACATTTGGCCGGTGGGCCAATGGCAGATTTCGATCTCATACCGATCGGCCGGTGCCTCTGCCGTCGTAGAAAGGAAAATGAAATGGCATACCAATTCAAATAGGTCAATTTAGAGGTCACGTGACACTAATCAGTGGATCTCCTTAAAACGACAGAAACCATGTGCTTATTTTGCTGCTTAATGCTGTAGTTTGGATCGTGAAATGACACATCTTTCGCAAAAGGGAGATTTGAAAGGACGTGGAATACATTTCAGCTATTTACTGCTATTTCCCTCTGCAATTTCCTACTCTCGCGGTGAAATATATGCCGATCAATATTTTCGTTGAGGAAAGGCTTAACTTTCAGCGAGACGGGAGGACCGGAACCAAGCCGTGTTCTCTCGCCGACTTAATTTTTTTTTCTGGTTAACCCTCATAACATTACTTGATTTCTTCGTCTGTGAGCATGTCTGGAACAGGGTCCATCCCCAAATCGGTTCACCAGTATGGTAAACCGCCCAAACCGCTCGTTTTGGTTGCGTGAGCGGTTGTAAATTCTCCTCGTATTCCTTCTGCGAGAAATTACACTAGACCGTAGCTGAACCATCTTCGAAAGGCGTGAAGAGAAACCTATTGCAAATTTTTGGCACCATGTAACTTTCAAGCAAATTTCTGTAGAGCAATTTATTAATTAGTTTGTAGCTTGCTTTGTGGCTGAAACAGTTCTTAATTTTTGCCCTAACAGGGATGAAAAACATCAAGGTCGTTGACGGGAGAGAGGAGGGTCTTGGAGAGGACCTTGAAGCATTAAAGAAGTTTCTGATGGAAACGGGCCAAGGAAAACACGTTCTGGTGGATGAAGTCCCGATCACGCTGGGATTCCGAGGGATCATCACGTCGGAGGCGCTTTCCAAGCACTGGGAGTGGGTCGTGGGGTCGACCCCTTGCCTGAAGTCGATCACCCTCTCCTTCCGACCGAACGACCAGTCCTACGAGAGGGACTTTCCCATCCAGGATGTGAACCCTGGAGGTCGGGAGGTGAGGGTTCTGGAGGGCGTGAAGCGAAACACCAGAAAAGTGGCCGAGCTGTTCCTAGCCATCGGGGATTACGCCCGCAGGATCTTCCCGTCTCTCGAGAGGACCCTTCCATTGAACTTAAAAGAGGCTGGGGAGGGATTTAAAAGAGGATTCCTCCCAGTTCTCTTTTCCATTCCCTCTTGTTTCTCCATTCATCCGGGCGAATGCAGGGACGCGAGGACCTGCGAGGCCGTGAGGGCCTTGCACGCGATTCGCATCGTATACGAGGAACGCTCCGAGCCATCAACTCCTATTTTCGTCGTGGTTGATAACGTAGAAAGAAAGAACGCCATCGTGAGAGTAACAGCCTCGATCTTCCCGTCCCTTCCCTTAATCTTCCTCCTCTACAGCCAGAGACACCACGCCTGGAAATTCCACGGACATGGCGCCTCAGAGGGCTCGTCCCCCATCGTCGTCGCCACCGAAAGCGAAATGACCGGATGCCACCCGAATAACCTGACGATCGTGGTCGATCACTCCGGGTCCCAATGGCACAACTACAGTCGACTGATAGCAACGACCGGTGAAAACAAGGTTCTCGTGGTCGAAGAGGAACAGTTGAGAACAGGGAAGTTTTCCCACGTCACAAAGCAAATCCCAGGTTGGACGATCAAAGAGAGAGGCGTAGATGAAGACCTGAAATCAAGGCTGAACGAAGCCCGGTCGAAGTGCGACGCGCAAAGAATCGCCAATTTGAAAGAAGAGGATTTCCCTCTTGCATCTTTCCCCGGAATGGAAACAGATTGGAACGGGGTGGAGGGAGAGGAGAAACGCGACGTGGAAATAATGCTGAGATCTTCCATCTGTGGGATATTCGGTCCCCCAGCCTCTGGAAAATCCCTGAGAGTGAGCCTGTTCATCGCCCGAGCGACCGAGCGGGGGGAGAGAGTCGTCTTTCTCCACCCTGGGTACGTGTTGTTCCTGGAACACCGACGGCATTTGGTGAAGAAGGACGAGGTGGACCTGTATGAAAGCTTCGATTCCAACAAGGTCAAGAGTTTCCAGGACGTCGTTGACCTAGTACAGGAGGCTCTGAAGGAAAAGGAGGGAAAGGGAAAGAATAAGAAGACGAAGAAGAAGCAGGGAAAAGAGAAAGGCAGAGAAACGAGTCCCCTAAACGTCGTCGTCGAAGACTGTCCATTGCTGGAGGAACTTAGCGATACCAAAAGACTGAAAGAGCTGACGAAACGGCTGATACTCACCTTCAAACCTCATTCCGAAGACGCCTCTGGGAAAGCAGTCGGGAGGATCATAAAAAACTTTCGAGAGAGCCCAGACTGCACCGCGATCGTACTCGAGTCTCAGCCCACCAACGTGCATCTCCTTGAGCACATCCAGAAATACGAGACCGGAAAAGCGCTGAAGTTGGCAGCAAAGAGTCTGTCAGTTTACACCGTGCCCGCCGCCATCGTATACGGCTCACCCGTTGAGTACATCGACTTGAACCATTACAAGTGTTCGGGGCGACATTTGGGATACCTCTGCAGTGGAGACAAGCCATGCAGCACATTCAAGGCAGTCGCATCCTGCGTCGCTCGGGTCGCTCGGGCTGCTCTCGCAGCGACGACAGACCACCAACACGGGGAACCCTCCATCCGGGATGTCCCACCATCAGCCACACAGGAACCCTCCATCCGGGATGTCCGACCATCAGCCACACAGGAACCCTCCATCCGGGATGTCCGACCATCAGCCACACAGGAACCCTCCATCCGGGATGTCCGACCATCAACCACACGGGAACACTCCATCCGGGATGTCCATCTGCAGGCGAAAAACCAGGAGCCCTACGTCCTGGTGTCAGACGAACACCTACTAAATTCACTGCAATCCCTGAAATCCTTCTTCGACGTTCAAGTGATCCACTCAAGGGACTTCCGCGGATGCGAAGCCTCCGTCATCATCTCCGTGAACGTGAACGACGACTGGCTTCTCGAAGTGATTTCCCGCTCCAGAACTCGACTCATCATCATCGACCACTTCCCCGACCACGAAGACCTCTGGACGACCATGGTCGACGAGCAACGTGTGGAGACCTGGCTTGCCCCCTCTTCGGAGGACGGTGCAGCTAACCCAGAATTCTTCCTGACGCTAAATGAGCAGGCACAATTTTTGAAAGTGAGTCTCGTTTTCTGTTCAGTCTCCTCAAAGTCCCATGTCCTTTCTCCTGGCATTCTCAATTGGTCTCGTCGACGATATCTTTGAAAAGTTTCATCAGGGAGCATTAGAGCAAATAAAATGTATATATATATATATATGAACAGAGTAGAGGAAGGAGAGATGGGACGTCATTAGACGAATTAGAAATAATGAAATGGAATTTGAATGCTTTCGGTCGTGGTTATGATGAAGATGGAGACATTCCCGGTATTTCCTAATAATAATATCTTCGAGGTTGATGTTTTTTCGTGAGCCTGGGGAACGGAAATGCTATGATTGGATGAAATTTAGTTTTCTAACTGAAACGATCGAATTTCTCGATATTGGTCTTCCTAATGTTGCTAGCTATGAAGGAAGCGGGCAAAAAAAAGGGGGGGGTGGGGAAGTCTAATATATGTAATATAATATAAATAATGAAATAATAAAGGATTCACAGTAAAGGAGGTTGCAACGTTACATGCCAAACATGTTATATATTTACATGTTATTCTCTCCTCGTCCAATATGTATTTTCATAGTTTAGTCACGTTCTCTTTGTTTATTTACCGCATTTTTTTTTTACCCCTTAAGGACAAATGAGGCGGAGGGCCAAGGCATTATATCGTGTTCTTCGTGTTGCAGGAACCGACCTGGAACGACACCGGGGTCAGAATCGGGGAGAAGGCGCTGGAAGAGGGCTTCCTCGACCGGGAGACCGGCGCGGTGCTCCCTCTCGACCGGGAGACATGGAAAGTCCTCGATGGACCTTTGCCTCTGCCCCGGTCATCTTCTCCCCTCGCCGATTGGGGATACTCTTGGGATGGTGCATGGATGTTCAAACTGACACTTATTCTTCATTCTTGGAGCTTATGGAGAAACCATTTTTTCTTCCACTGATGGATCGAGATTTTGATACTCCTTCGTTTATCTACTCCTGTCGATTTGCTGAGAGTTGAAAAAATCCAATATTTTAAACACAATTCAGTGGATTAAGTTGTCATGAAAAATGGGCTTGAGTGGGTGATCAGCTCCTTTTTTCCAGTAACCGAGGAAACTTTTTCCAGAATATGTCAGAACGTTAGATGCGAGAGGTTTGCTGTATTGAAGTAACCACACCGACAAATACTCTCCAGGATACCCGGGAGAAGCGCCTGCAGTCAGCAGCGAAAGGAACAAGGGAATTACCGACTTCCTGAAGGAGAGGGGTGTCGAATGGGAGCCGGCGCAGAGCCCCCCAGTGGCCCTCGAGGTTCGAAGCGGCGGCGGGGGAGGCGTCCTGGATTCCCTTTCCCTCGCTGTCGCGGGATCGCTCTTGCATCTTCCTCTCCTCGCGGTAAGCCGCGCTCTCGTTCGTTTTCCTCACTTCTCGTGGGAGAGACTTGGGACGTCGGGATGCTGAGGAAACGAGAGAGAGAAACGTGCGTGACCTTGGCGGTGTGCTTGTAAAACTCTGTCCTGAGGCGTTCGCCAAAATTTGACAGGCTTGTTATGGTTGCTAGACGCTGATTTTTTTGCTTAATGCAGGCAAGTTGCTGATTTGCTTTCCATGATAATGGCTAAATTCGAGTCTCCTCGTACAGAGTCTGCTGTTGAACTTTGGTCCAGCTAGAGTGGAGTGGAAATGCAATACATGATGATGGATTAAATATTGGAATCGGTTACATTGAATGGGGGAAGTGAATGAGTACGAGCCACATGGTCCATCGATTTTTAACGAATTTATTGTAATAGTAAAGTAAAAGCCAGGTTCAGAGGGACCGCAGGAGCCAAAACTGCGAAATTCCTAACCCCATCTTAATCTTCATTCAATTAAGGTTGAGTTTCCAGTTTAGAACTCTTTAGCGAGAGAAAACTCGAAACTGTTTATTATTACACGGAAGGGGGTTTTCCCTGTCACGAATTTTGCTCTGTACACCCCTGCTTTTAACCCCCTTTCTACTCTAACTTATTCGGTTTAGACCTCCCAGAAAAAGTTTTCCTCGGACCTGGAAGGCCTTGAAAAATTTTCAGCCCTGATCCTGAATATAATTTTCATTAAGCAGATATGAGAAGGAAATGTGGGTGTAATGTGAGTGATGCAACAAATACCCACGCAGAAAGCTCACAGCGCGAGTAGAAAGGAGAAAGAGCGGCCACGTTCCCGAGAAAATGCGACATGAGCCCACAAAGGATAGGATGCGAAGTTAAGTCGTCAATAATGGGATGCGAAGTTAAGTCGTCAATAATGGGATGCGAAGTTAAGTCGTCAATAATGGGATGCGAAGTTAAGTCGTCAATAATGGGATTCTCAAAGGAGCTCGACCTAGTTTAGAAAGACTCAAAATGGCTTCAAAGTTGCTGTTATACTCATGAGAAAGGAAGTCTCATTGAGAATTGGTAATTACAGAAGAATGAGGAAAGAGGACGTATCCACAGAGGGGATTTAGGATTACGTATCATATCCCCTGAGGATGATCCATTCCAGTACATCTTCAATCCACGAAACTGCTCCAAGATGAGTCTCTCATGAAACGGCCCTCATGAAAGGTTCAGGAGGTACCTCACGACGCAAATCCAGAGTTGTCATTCTGATACGAAAGTAGTTCATGCGATTTCTCGTCTTCGGTCAGTTTCGGTGATCTCCATGGTCTTGAAGAATGCGGCCTCGGTCAACTTAGACTTTGGGGTCCGTTGTAATTATACATTTTCAAACAGGTGCTTCTAGAGAAGGAAAATCAGGGGGATCCTCTTCCCCTAATCAAACGTGGAGCAGAACTCCTTGGAAGACCAATTGTCGTCATTGGAAAAAAATTATCAGGTGAGACCAAATATTTTATTATTATCTTCTTATCAAAAGGGACTCACCAGGGGATCCTCTTCCCCTAATCAAACGTGGAGCAGAACTCCTTGGAAGACCAATTGTCCTCATTGGAAAAAAATTATCAGGTGAGACCAAATATTTTATTATTATCTTCTTATCAAAAGGGACTCACCATTTGCGAGCTCTAAGCAATTAGCAGTGCGCTTAATCATTTTTTACTCTAAGGCGTTTGACGGTAAAGGAACCTGCTTAAACACTTGGAAGACGAAGGAATCCATGAAGCCGTCAGATAAATCAGTGGTTCCAAGCTTTTCTTTCATTCGGCAAAAAACTAATGAGATTAACAGTTTTCAACAACAACGGGATGGATTGTTGTAGGAAAAAGACAGGTAAGATGGTCAGTTATAATTAGACCCTGAGGTAGGGAGGACCCGCCCCTCGTGACAAAATTATAAATTCATCAGTCGAAACCCACCAGGAGATTCATTTAAATATGGTTGGTTCTGCATAAATAATCCGTGTTTTTAGTAGTTGTTACGGGATCCATCTTGAAGATTATAATCCGAGTACTTTCTAAATAAATTCTGAGCATGTAAAAATACACCATCGTTTTTGGCGATTTTTCATGAAAATATTCATCAAATATTTGAGATATCTATCCCATTCCCTTTCAACAGGATACGGACGGAAAAAAAAAGGATTATAATAAATCATTTCGAGGTAATGACAGTGTTCACAGCCGCACTCCAAAATCTCGAATTAGCATTCTGCTTGTTTTAGTGATTCAGACAGCCTTTAAGAGGAAGAAAGGGGGGAAGACATATTGCTCACATGAGCGGGGGAACAGTGCCGTCACGATAATAACTTCAACACAAATGAACATATCTAATCTAGACTTTCACCCTTTTCCCCCATTTCCCTGAAAAACTTCACGCTTGAATATTTAGGCCTTTGTAGACCTTCATTTGCCTCCAAGAAATTAGAATCTGGGAACGCTACCGATTCTTGTCCAAGTTATCAAAACCTTTTAGGCCATTTCTTCTATGAGTATAATGTTACATGAAATGTAAATGTTTTCAAGAAGGTCTTTGGACGTCCAATGTGCAAGAACGAGCACCTTTTTGGAGCTCAGTTAAGGTGCCGTTTCGTCGCAAAACATGCTTCATTTGAAGGATATTCGTTGAACGTTATAAAAGCGTTCTTCGATAATATCAATAGTGTCCATCTGACTTAAAGTAAAGGTTCTGGTTCGAAGCAAATATTCGCACAACCGACGCTAGATGACGCCTAAGTAGTCGCTATAGCGGGTCAATTCCTGATCCAGCTGTAATTAGTCCCCAATACCTTCCACAAGGTAGCCGATCTTTCTCCACATAGGCAAGAGAGAGAGATACTTATTGGTGCATGGCGGTCCGTGTAGGTACCATACTTTGAGGTAAGTACCGTCCATACCTTGGTCATTATGGATGAAACGAACATTTTCCAGGAACCTTCCTCCCTGAAGGAGATGAGACAAATGACCTCGAAGGCTTGCTGCTCTTCGCTCAGAACGACTCTGAGCGCATCTCCTTCCTCCCTGTTGTCCCTCGTCGAAGTGAGTCATCGTTTTCACATGTGCTACCCATCAGTGCAATGATCATCGTCAGTGTAATTGACAATTCGCGATTGATCATGCAACGCATGCGATTCGTTTGCTGAAGGGTTCAGAGTAATTTGCCGTGAGTGCATTTGGCAAGACGTGCGAAACTCACTGAGAAGCATTGTATGTATACAGCCCATCATAGGTTGGTTAACTCGATGTTCGATGGACAACGTTTCCTCTCACAATGTCAGTTAAGATGCTCTGCTGAAACCCTTTTTACCAGGCTCTTAACGGCCCTTTTAAACTTTTCTGGCACCTCGGTTCTTTGAGAAATACCTTTTAGATGAAGATGAAGAATTGAATTGCTAAGCTGACTGCAGGCATCAGGAGGACATAACATTAGGAAAATAATTTTTAAAAGCAACACAGAAATGACAAGTTCACTGTTATATTAATAAGAGAGCAAGATATGAAATTTGAATTATTTTGAATGGAGAAAAAGGGAAGATGAAATATGCATTTAATGCGAGAGCAGAGAGTATATACGTGCGCCACCGAGTCGTCACCCCATTTTGGCTCCCTCTCCCTCGTATTTCCTATTTATCCCCAGGAAGTGGAGATTCATGGATGAAAGTGGAGAATCTCCCTCGAGTGCGCCTGGGAGGCTCGCTTCCCCCGTCAGGTGCGAGGATTTCTTTCCGAGGGAAGTTGAAAGTGACCTGGAACAGGCACACAGCGATCATTTTGAGGTCGTTGGACAGGAAGCTGGCGAAACTGCCGCCCCTCAGTCCAGGTGAGTGAAACATGCTGTAGCTCTCCCCTCTCTCTCGCCATGCATTGCCAACATTTCGTTTCGGGGACGGTAGGAAACAGTAGCAAAAAATAAGGAGCATAAATATAATTTTGAAATATGAAAAATGACTATGACTTTTAATGCTAACTTTAATCTGCGGCACTCTCACTCGTTATCTGCAAATCTTAGCTTCACGGACTTTGCGATCGCCAAAAAGTTTGTGTTGAATTCGCTTACTTACTGCAACCGTGACTTGAGAGTCACAGTTGCAGCGGTACTTGGCGAGGTCAGATCAATTCCCTGGCACACTCGGAAGGATTCATGATAAATCGAACAAGCGAACAAGGAAACGCGACTCCAGAGAGGCCCGTGCACATGGCTCCAATTTCCCCATCTGTGGGGGAAATATTGGAGAAAATTGTCGACGAGAAAACAAAATCTGGTTTCATGACTTCGGCAACGTTTCCGCGTTGCAGACTCATCGACATATTTCCAGAAACAAAAGCCTGCCTTGTATGTTAGCCCCTCACATTACTTCCAAAACGGCATACCTTTCAATGATGAATTCGCCGAAGCATACAACAACTTGAGAATAAAATCTGCATACCTTGTCTTGCAAAGGAAACGGTCAATTGCCGGCTTGCAATTGTGAAACGTGGCGTCAACCTGCGTCATCCTAAAAAGTTCTTCTCTTCCCTTCTCGACTTGGCCCCCCTCTCACCCGCCTCATCCCCGACTTGGCCCCCCTCTCACCCGCCTCATCCCCAACTCCACCTCCACTTGCGTCCTCATTCCTCACATTCCTCACTTGTCGGACGGGATTTCAATGTATCTATATGTTGGAAATTTATAAAGGCCTCAGCAACGTGATCATTCGCATCCATCATAAGGATTCTCCAAAACTGCATTATATATATTCATTGACAAACTGACGTGCTCCTAATTTCAATTAATTCATGACCAAGTCTACGTTAAAAATGTATAAAATAGTAATTTTTATTGTTAGCATTTCGTTCGTTTCATCAGTCCGCAAGAAATTAAGCATGAATAAAACTTTGTCTCCTTCTGAGTTGATCCTCTGGAGCCCATTCATCATCACACCTCACTCGACGCTAATTAAGTCTTCTTCCCCCTTCCAGAGGCGCTTCATCCTGAGCAGAGACCCCAATTAACCGGGTCCTTTGGTGAGGAACTCGTCCTTTTGGCCTGTGCATCGCCATGTTCCGCCAGAGGCAAATATTTAAAAAAATGTTTCCCCTTTTCCAGACAAACTTGGACCGAGAGAAACACTCCGATTCCTCAGGGGTGTTTGTGAGAAACACGATGTCTCGTTCGTCCGTCACTGTAATTCATACGAAAGCCATTAAATCAAAATATATATTTCTCCATTCCAGACAGGAGTAAGTCCGAAACTTGGGAATTCCTCCGAAAAATCGGTGAGAAATAATTATCTCCCTCGGCCCCCGCACCACGAAGTTAATTCGGAATCTCTTTTCGCTTTGCAGACTCGATCCGGCCCGAGCAGAAAAGACAACTTATCGAGAGCTTCGGTGAGGACGACTCCACCGTCCTCCACCGTCCTTCGCCATTCTCGACATTTAGTGACTTAATGAAAATCCATTTTCCCTTTCCAGACGCACTTGGCCCGTTCGATGCTGAAGAACTGATTTGTAGTTTAGGTGAGGATCACGCCGACTCGCCCATTCATCGCGTTCCTCACCAAAGGTCTTAATTAATCCGCGTCTCTCCTTCGGCGCGAGCGAGTCTGGAAAGGGAAAAGAGAGATAATTGCTTCTGGTCGGGCGTAGTGATGGGCGTAACTCACCAAAGCTCTCGATCAATTCCCGTCTCTGCACCGGCTGAAGTGTTTCTATAGGGGAAAAAAATAAAATTTCGATTGAATTTCTTCGGTATGATGGGCGAGCGAGATTTAAAATTCCTCACCAAAGCTTTTAAGTAATCGCCGTCTCTCCTTTGGCCCAAATGTGTCTGGAAGGAGAAAATACATGCTTTTATTTTTCCCTCCTNAGAGTAATTTGCTGTGAGTGCATTTGGCAAGACGTGCGAAACTCACTGAGAAGCATTGTATGTATACAGCCCATCATAGGTTGGTTAACTCGATGTTCGATGGACAACGTTTCCTCTCACAATGTCAATTAAGATGCTCTGCTGAAACCCTTTTTACCAGGCTCTTAACGGCCTTTTTAAACTTTTCAGGCACCTCGGTTCTTTGAGAAATACCTTTTAGATGAAGATGAAGAATTGAATTGCTAAGCTGACTGCAGGCATCAGGAGGACATAACATTAGGAAAATAATTTTTAAAGGCAACACAGAAATGACAAGTTCACTGTTTTGTTAATAAGAGAGCAAGATATGACATTTGAATTATTTTGAATGGAGAAAAAGGGAAGTTGAAATATGCGTTTAATGCGAGAGCAGAGAGTATATCCGTGCGCCACCCGAGTCGTCACCCCATTTTGGCTCCCTCTCCCTCGTATAGATATATCCTATTTATCCCCAGGAAGTGGAGATACATGGATGAAAGTGGAGAAGCTCCCTCGGGCGTGCCTAGGAGGCTCGCTTCCCCCGTCAGGTGCGAGGATTTCTTTCCGAGGGAAGTTGAAAGTGACCTGGAACAGGCACACAGCGATCATTTTGAGGTCGTTGGACAGGAAGCTGGCGAAACTGCCGCCCCTCGGTCCAGGTGAGTGAAACATGGTGTAGCTCTCCCCTCTCTCTCGCCCTGCATTGCCAACATTTCGTTTCGGGGGAGCGGGGACTGTAGGAAACAGTAGCAAAAAATAAGGAACATAAATATAATTTTGAAATATGAAAAATGACTATGACTTTTAATGCTAACTTCAATCTGCGGCACTCTCACTCGTTATCTCCAAATCTCAGCTTCACGGACTTTGCGATCGACAAAAAGTATATGTTGAATTCGCTTACAGGCTGCAACCGTGACTCGAGAGTCACAGATGCAGCGGTACTTGGCGAGGTCGGATCAATTCCCCGGCACACTCGGAAGGATTCATGTCAATTCCAACAAGAAGGGGAAACGCGACTCCGGAGAGGCCCGTGCACATGGCTCCAATTTTCCCCATCTGTGGGGGAAATGTGGGGGAAAATTGTCGACGAGAAAACAAAATCTGGTTTCGTGACTTCGGCAACGTTTCCGCGTTGCAAACTCATCGACATATTTCCAGTAACGAAAGCCTGCCTTGTATGGTAGCCCCTCACATTACTTCCAAAACGGCATAACTTTCAATGATGAATTCGCCGAAGCATACAACAATCTAATTATAAAATATGCATACCTTGTCTTGCAAAGGAATCTGTCAATTGCGGGCTTGCAATTGTGAAACGTGGCGTCAACCTGCATCATCCTACAAAGTTCTTCTCTTCCCTTCTCGACTTGGCCCCCTCTCATCCGCCTCATCCTCGACATGGCCCCCCTCTCTCCCGCCTCATCCCCCGACTTGGCCCCCCTCTCTCCCGCCTCATCCCCCGACTTGGCCCCCCTCTCTTCCGCCTCATCCCCGACTTGGCCCCCCTTTCTCCCGCCTCATCCCCGACTTGGCCCCCTCTCATCCCCCTCATCCCCGACTTGGCCCCCTCTCATCCGCCTCATCCCCGACTCCACCTCGTCTTGCGTCCTCATTCCTCACACTCCTCACTTGTCGGACGGGATTTCAATGTATCTATATGTTGGACCGTCGATTGCAAATTTATAAAGGCCTCAGCAACGTGATCATTCGCATCCATCATGAGGATTCTCCAAAAGTGCATTATATATATTCATTGACAAACTGACGTGCTCCTTATTTCAATTCATTCATGACCAAGTCTACGTTAAAAAATATAAAATAGTACTTTTTATTTTTAGTATTTCGTTCATTTCATCAGTCCGTAAGAAATTAAGCACGAATAAAACTTTGTCTCCTTCTCAGGTGCTCCTCTGAAGCCCATTCATCATCATACCCCACTCAACGCTAATTAAGTCTTCTTTTCCTTTCCAGAGGTGCTTCAGCCAGAGCAGAGACCCCAATTAACCGGGTCCATTGGTGAGGAACTCGTCCTTTAGGCCTGAACACCGTGTTCCGCCAGAGGGAAATATATTTTTAAAAAATGTTTCCCCTTTTCCAGACAAACTTGGACGGAGAGAAAGACTCCGATTCCTCAGGGGCGTTTGTAAGGAACACGATATTTCGTTCGTCCGTCACTGTAATTCATACGAAAGCCATTAAATCAAAATATATTTCTCCATTCCAGACAGAAGTAAGTCCGAAACTTGGGAATTCCTCCGAAAAATCGGTGAGAATTAATTATTTCCCTCGGCCCGCACCGCAAAGCAGTTATTTCGGAATTTCTTTTCGGTTTCCAGACTCGATCCGGCCCGAGCAGAGAAGACAACTGATCGAAAGCTTCGGTGAGGACGACTCCACCGTCCTCCACCATTCTCGACATTAAGTGACTTAATGAAAATCCATTTTCATTCCAGACACAATTGGCCCGTTCGATGCTGAAAAACTGATTTGTAGTCTAGGTAAGAATCACGCCGACTCGCCCATTCATCGCAATGCTCAACCAAAATAAAAAAATAAATATATACATATATATATATATTTTTTTTTTCCCCTTCTAGAAACAATTGGCTCAGAGCAGAGACTCCGATTAACCGAGATTTTCGGTAAGCCAGGCAACGACTCGCCCATCGATCATCATTTTTTCCCCCAAATTAAATCCAAATCTCTCTTCTTTTAGACACACTTGGACCGTACGACGCTGAAGTGCTGATTCGAAGTCTAAGTGAGAAGCTTCCCCCGTCCATCATCATGCTCCGCCAGAAAAAAAAATAATTCGTCGTTTATTTTTCCTTACCAGACGCACTTGTGACAACGGAAAGAAAACGATTACTTGAAAGATTTGGTGAGAAAAAAAAAAGAAGTTTTCCCTCCTCCTTCCCCTTCCTCCATTTGAAGCAATGAAAGAAAATTCATTATTTTCCCCTTCCAGTCTCACTTCGGGCAGGGCAAAAATGTCCATCAATCGAAGGATTCGGTAAGCAAAACGACGCGATCACCTTATCCCAGGAGGGAAAAATAAAAGCATGTATTTTCTCCTTCCAGACACATTTGGGCCAAAGGAGAGACGGCGATTACTTAAAAGCTTTGGTGAGGAATTTTAAATCTCGCTCGCCCATCATACCGAAGAAATTCAATCGAAATATTTATTTTTTTCCCCTATAGAAACACTTCAGCCGGTGCAGAGACGGGAATTGATCGAGAGCTTTGGTGAGTTACGCCCATCACTACGCCCGACCAGAAGCAATTATCTCTTTTTTCCCTTTCCAGACTCGCTCGCGCCGAAGGAGAGACGCGGATTAATTAAGACCTTTGGTGAGGAACGCGAAGTCTCGCCCGTCCGTCACCACGTTCCGCCTGTTGAAATTATTCCAGAATCTCTTTTCCGCTTCTAGACGTACTTGGACCGGGCGAAAGTTGGGAATTCCTGCGAAGTATTGGTGAGGGAGACGTCTATCACGGTCCAGCATGAGAAGAATTAATCAGTAATCGACGGGTATAATATATATATATGAATATAAAGGCCTCGTAGCTCAAATGGTCGAGGGGTTGTTGCGCTTAAGACTTCGATTTGCTTAATAAATAAATAAAAACATGTGCATGTTGGCATCAAAGACTCATGGAAAAAATTTTTTTTTTATTTTGGCCCTCTGGCGCCAACTTTTTTCTTTATATGCGGCTCCATCTCGTTTGAAACAGGAAATGCGAATCGCCAAATTTGGTGAAAATAGGCAATATTGCTCTTTTAAAATTTAATTTTTAAATCGTTTCAAATAAAGTAGGCATTTAAAATTTTGTTATTGGCACTGCCATTGGTTTAGTCTGCAAGGTTTCAAAAGCTCGTGTTATCATGCATCCTAATGCTCAAAATATGCGTGCAAAATTTGGCAATATTAGCAATTTTTGACATTTTAAAAATCAATTTGTTATAAACGTAATGGAAAATGAATTTAATAATGAAATCCTCAAATTTTTTTTTAAAGCTTTAATTAGAGTCCAAAAACAAAGGTCACTTTTCCTCTTGGGGTTGAGTTTGGAGCCGCATATCACGAAAACTGTTTTGCGCCAGAGAGCCGAAATTTTGATATTTTTTTCCATGTCTCCAGCATCCACAAAGATTTCTCTGGGGAATCGGAGTCTGAAGCCGAACGAAATTATCTTAATTTTTTTTTACCACTTAAGCTACAACGCTTCTATATAGTTTCTGTTTCGTGACTAAGCCACAATTAACGATGAAAATTTGATTTTTAATGAAATAATGAACATAACGTGATCTTCTGATTTAAGGGCACACGGGACGGGATTTCCCGTCTCTTCGCTAAATAAAATCTCGTTCTCCCTTCCAGACGCGCTTCGGCCGGAGCAAAGACAGCATTTGATCGAGAGCTTCGGTGAGACCCTTGCCATTCAGTGACCTAGCTCCGCTTGAATCTATTAAATCTCTTTTCCCTTTCCAGACACACTTGGGCCCAAGGAGAGACGTGAATTAATCCGGAGATTTGGTGAGGAACACAATGCCCATCACTTAGATCCGCTTGAAACCACTACATATTGAAATAAAAATATTTTTTTCCCCCTTCTAGACACACTTCAGCACGAGCAGAGACGCCGATTGACAGCGATCTTCGGTGAGGATCCCGTTCATCCTCACGTTCATCCTCACGTTCATCCTCACGTTCATCCTCACGTTCATCCTCACGTTCATCCTCACGTTCATCCTCACGTTCATCCTCACGTTCCACATGCAGCAATTCAACTATTTTTTCCTCTTACAGGAATCCTCGAACCATCCGACACTCGAGCGTTCATTGCGAGTTTAAGTAAGGAACTCAACGCCTCGCACGTCCGTCACCACCGGACAATATTAAATCGAAACCTCTTCATTTCCTTCCAGATGCCCTTGGGCCAGAGCAGAGACGCCGATTGATCGATGGCTTTGGTGAGGGGAATTGGCTTCTCGCTCTTCCGTCGTCGAGTTCCACCTGAAGGAAGTAAAATCGAAACCTCTTCATTTCCTTCCAGATGCCCTTGGGCCAGAGCAGAGACGCCGGTTGATCGATGGCTTTGGTGAGGGGAATTGGCTTCTCGCTCTTCCGTCGTCGAGTTCCACCTGAAGGAAGTAATTTTTTTTTTCGCTTTCCAGATACATTTGGGGTGGAGCAGAGGCGCGGGGTAATCGAGAGTTTCGGTGGGAAACACGAACCCCGTCCATCGCTAAATTCCACCTGAAATATACAGTATTTTAATATATAATAAATGTATTTTAATTTTTTTTCAGACGCACTCGGACAAAGTGGAGCTCAAGCATTTTGTCTGAGTCTTGGTGAGGAACGTTTCGCCCATCATCAAAATTTATTTTCGTTTTTTATCAATTGCTTCAAGGGGAGAATTTTTTTTTTTTCCTCCTTTCAGATTCGATTGGACCCAGTGGAACCGGCGCATTCCTTCGAAATCTCGGTGAGGAACGCGGCAGCAGCCACATTTCCCGCCCGAAATGAAATGAAAAATTCGGTTTCCCCCTTCCAGACGCACTGGGGCCTGAGCCGAGACGCGGATTGATCGAGAGCTTTGTGAGGAACGCGGCTCCTCGAATCAGAAAGCACTCGCTCCTTCCGTAAGCTGAAAATCCGTCGCAGCTTCAATTTCCTCAGAGGTGGAAGAAAAGCGACGGTTTTTTCCTTCCAAGCGATGGGAACCCAAAAAACCACGTCGAGTCCATCGTGCTATGCTAATGGGCGAAAGTCCAAGTTCCTTTTGCGGTTGGTTGCGAAGCAATAGAGAGAATCCCTGTGGTATAGTATAATATAATATATCTGGTGGTTGAGAAGAAATAAATGAATTGATTGATTGATTGACAAAATAATATTTCACTTTATCGTGAAACTCATCGAGAAGCGAAAAAATTCCTCCCGACTGTTTCTTCGTCCGTATGATTGCTAAACGCAACATCCCAATTAGCAATTCGCAATTAGTCCATTGCACTTTTGCTCAAGGGCATCTAAATGTTTCGCCCGGGGATAATCCCGGGACATGTCCCTTCGGTGTCGATTTTTCAGATCCATTTGGGAATTCGCCATGGATAATCTCCGTTCGTTCGCTGCGTGTCCTTCAAAATTGTCGTGGCGCCAAATTTGCATGCACGCCAATAGCATTCTCAAGGGCCTTCCTTTTCCTTACCATTCTCCTTCGCATTCGCACCCAGGTTAACATTTTACATAGCGGCGCTATCTCAAGACATACGGAATATTTAAAAAATGGACTTTCAAAGGAAATTACTAATTTCTTTTTTTTTTAAGCTAATAAATCGGTAACTTGAAGACATGTTCGGATCTGGGCATCTACATTAACTTGAGCTTCCCGGGCCAATAATTCACTGGACTTAGAAGGCCTTACCCGGGGTGGATTGATCGACACAATTTTGGAACCGCGGACCGCGGACGACCGCGAATGCGGTCGCGTTCCCACCTGGTGAGCCTGCTTCTCCCTCGCTTCCTCGAAAGGCATCGGCTTCCAGAAGACTCTCTTCGTCATTCGAGTCCTCGCGACCCAAGCCGTCGAGGAAGAGGTTAAAGAGCGGGAGTGACAGTCGAGTCCTCCTAACAGTTACCTCATCATTTTTGGTTTTAATACTTTGGTACGAGCATATTCAACTAGGTGTCACGCCCTACGTCTGACCCTTGATCAGAGTCCTGCGGTCCCCATCATTACGTAATTAGTATCCTGCCACCTCCCTCTCCATCTCAAACTGAGGATCAGAGGCAAGAGACAGAGTCTCGTTTACGTTTTAGGTCAGAACTATCGCTAGTGTCAGGAATTGAAGGCCAATGCCCTGGAATCGGACGCAACAGTGAATCAAGTTCTCTTCAGAAAAGCTCCGTGCCCATTTTTGTTCCTTCAACAAGAAAAGAGAATTCTAAGGGGCTTCCAGTGTTCTAAGTGGCTCAAAAGCGCAGTTAATTAAGTGTCGCACGGTGTTTCCGTTTGCTTTTCCCTTCTGATTGCATCCCGGCTATTCGATTCCACTTCGATCCGTTTGAAGCCCCTGTTGCGTTTAACCTCTCTGTGTTCATCACCGTTCATACGACAGGAAAATTTCTGTTCAAATTAAGAAAAAGAAATGTTTGAGAGGAAAATAAATTCTTTCNNNNCTGCCCTTATCCCTCGACAGATTCCAGAGCCCCTTCGTCTTCTTCCTCGCGGGCTGCATCCTTTCCGTTCTCGTCTTTGCACTGGAACTCGTCGTCCCTCGACAGCGAGGCTGGAGGCATTCTCGAGCTCCGTCCAAATCAACTTCTTGTAGTTATTCATTGACTCGTCGAACTGAGAAGGGAAATCAAGGTTCTCCCGCTCCCTCGCTGTAACTTGCATATGTGGTATGAAAGGGGAAAATATCATCTAAATATATTCGTTTCGAGCCATCAACTCGTAACATAAGAATATGCAGCAAAGCAAGAGAGACAACTTCCCATGTAATAAATATGCATGCCATATGTTTGTTCATTTGTTTCATTTTCATCTCCATGAACTGCTACCATACAAGCGGTGAAAATCGATGTTTGAATATTCAAATGATTCCAAATCCACCCAACAAGGGTGAATGTACGTGTATCCACTTCTTGATGGGATGGCCAACTGATTTCAATTCCACCCGGGAAGGATGCTTCCACCTGGCTAACCCAAGTGCATTTCCAAGAAGAGAGACGTCGCCTTGTCTTTCGGCCAGGTGGCTGCAGGTGGACGTTTTGTAAGGGCGGCCCGTTCTTTTCCATTCACGATCGATCCCCCACGGTATTTCACTCGACTTAGAGGGCCCTACACTGGTTGGATGACATCGATACAATATTGGAACTGGACCATGCGGATGACCGCGAATGCGGTCGCATTCCCACTTGGTGAGCCTGTTTCTCCCACCCTTCCACGAAGGCTTCGGCTTCCACAAGACTCTCTTCGTCATTCGAGTCCACGCGAACCAGGCTGTGGAGGAAGAGGTTGGAGAGCTTGAATACCAGTCGAGTTCCCTTCAGAATTACCTCATCATTGAAAACGCGGACGTAATTCCGCACACCCCTCTTATTTATGAAAATATCCACCGACTTGTTCCACAAGGTTGAAAAGTATTCTCCCTCCTTCCTTTAGCGCATTTAAAACAGTCATGGATTCTGCTACCTATAAAGGAACATGATTCGATTGTGCTTTCCCGCTTTTCGGGAGTAAGATTGCTAATTCCAGTTTCGCTCCCTTTCTCGGAAATCGCTCACTTTCTCCGATGACTGTATACTGTATTTGGGTGACGATGTCTCTGTGAACCGCCCAAAGGATATTTTGATACGAGCATATTCACCTAGGTGTCATGCCAATCCTCTGACCCTTGATCAAAGTTTCATCAAAATTTAATTTCATTTTTTATCAGTTGCTACAGGGGAAAAATGCTGCAGGGGAGAATATTTTTTTCCTCCTTTCAGATTCGATTGGACCCAGTGGAACCGGCGCATTCCTTCGAAATCTCGGTGAGGAACGCGGCCGAAGCCACATTTCCCGCCCGAAATGAAATGAAAAATCAGGCAGCAGTCACTCCTTCCGTAAAATGAAAATTCGTCGCAGCTTCAATTTCCTCAGAAGTGGAAGAAAAGCGACGATTTCCTCCTTCCAAGCGATGGGAACCCAAAAAACCGCGAAAGACTTCGAGTCCTTCGTGCTATGCTGATGGTCGAAAGTTGACGTTTATTTTGCGGTTGGATACTAAGCAATAGAGAGAATCCCCGTGGTATAGTATAAAAGAATATATCTGGAGGTTGAGAAGACATAAATCAACGTCTGATTGACTTAATAATATTTCACTTCATCGTGAAACTAAGCGAAAAAGCAAGGACTCGTTCGCATCTCATCGACTGATTCCATCCACGAGACTGAAATTCCTCCCGACTTTTTCTTCGTCCGTATGATTGCTAAACGCAACATCCCAATTAGCAATTCGCAATTAGTCGATTGCACTTTTGCTCAAGGGCATATAAATGTTTCGCCCGGGGATCATCTTGGGACATGTCCCTTCGGTGTCGATTTTTCAGATCCATTTGGGGATTCGCCATGGATAATCCTCCGTTCGTCCGCCGCATGTCCTTCAAAATTGTCGTGGCGCCAAATTTGCATGCACGCCAATAGCGTGCATGCAAATTTGCATTCCTCCTTCGCATTCGCACCCAGGTTAACATTTTACATAGCGGCGCTATCTCAAGACATACGGAATATTTAAAAAATGGACTTTCAAAGGAAATTACTAATTTCTTTTTTTTTTAAGCTAATAAATCGGTAACTTGAAGACATGTTCGGATCTGGGCATCTACATTAACTTGAGCTTCCCGGGCCAATAATTCACTGGACTTAGAAGGCCTTACCCGGGGTGGATTGATCGACACAATTTTGGAACCGCGGACCGCGGACGACCGCGAATGCGGTCGCGTTCCCACCTGGTGAGCCTGCTTCTCCCTCGCTTCCTCGAAAGGCATCGGCTTCCAGAAGACTCTCTTCGTCATTCGAGTCCTCGCGAACCAAGCCGTCGAGGAAGAGGTTAAAGAGCGGGAGTGACAGTCGAGTCCTCCTAACAGTTACCTCATCATTTTTGGTTTTAATACTTTGGTACGAGCATATTCAACTAGGTGTCACGCCCTACGTCTGACCCTTGATCAGAGTCCTGCGGTCCCCATCATTACGTAATTAGTATCCTGCCACCTCCCGCTCCATCTCAAACGGAGGATCAGAGGCAAGAGACAGAGTCTCGTTTACGTTTTAGGTCAGAACTATCGCAAGTGTCAGGAATTGAAGGCCAATGCCCTGGAACCGGACGCAACAGTGAGTCAAGTTCTCTTCAGAAGAGCTCCGTGCCCATTTTTGTTCCTTCAACAAGAAAAGAGAATTCTAAGTGGCTTCCAGTGTTCTAAGTGGCTCAAAAGCGCAGTTACTTGAGTGTCGCACGGTGTTTCCGTTTGCTTTTCCCTTCTGATTGCATCCCGGCTATTCGATTCCACTTCGATCCGTTTGAAGCCCCTGTTGCGTTTAACCTCTCTGTGTTCATCACCGTTCATACGACAGGAAAATTTCTGTTCAAATTAAGAAAAAGAAATGTTTGAGAGGAAAATAAATTCTTTCCTTCGAAAAGTCATTTTCATAATAGTCGAACGAGAAATATACCATTTGTCTAAATGGACGCCAGAAGTGGCGGCGAAGTAGTCTCATGGTGTATCAGTCATGAGCAATCTTGCAATCATAGAGAAAGGGGAGAGTGCACTTGCGCTTGCATCTATGAGTACCATGAATGATGGATGAACGAAGAATGTCCACACGATGGGAAGTGTCGACGTCAACACTTGCGGCGGTTCGGAGACGCTTCGATGAGAAGCCATGCCACACACTCGTCGTGTCCGATCGGGGATGGGATCAGGGATGTTCGTCCTCGTTTTGCTGGTGCAAGGGCTCTTCGCGATGTCCAGTTCGTCGTATCGTGGTCCTGGAGGTCCCGCCGCGAAATGGGATTTCCGAGGCGAAAGCATCTGTGTTGGGACGTT